TGAGATGGAATGGAATGGTAGAACTAAGATCATGAGCTAAGCGTTCATCTCCTATAAGTGAATTCATATGTAATGTTTAAAATCAAAAGGCCTCCAGGCGTGGTGGCTCATGCCTGTAATCCCAGCATATGGGAGGCTGTGTGCAGGAAGATCACTGCAAATTCGAGGCCAGTCTGGGCTACATAATGAATTCAAGGTCAGCCTGAACTACACAGTGAGACCCTATCTCAAAAAAAAAAAAAAAAAATCAAAAGGCCAACTAATAAGTCTAAATGTGAAGAGGCTGGTCAGTGCTAAAATAAAAGCCAAAAAGAGTTGGAAAGCGTAAGGGACATGTGTAGAGAAGAGGGTAGAATAACATTTTTGTTCATTTTAAGCATACTGTTTAAAATTATGCACATGTAAACTTTTCTAAAATAAAATTTAATCTAAAAAAGGGGCTATGAAATAAGGAATTGGAGACACTCTAGCCCACTCTTTAAAGCACGTTGGCTATGGGAAAGATTGCCACATCACCAAGTAATGCCATCTCCCACACATCCATGCACACGCACACTTCCGGAGAGCTTTTTGTGCCCATATCTTAAATAAGGAGAAGCCAAGAATCATCAAACATTTGAAAAAACCCTTGAATATGACAATACAGAATTACAAGCAAAAAGAAAAGGCGGGGGAGATAAAAGACTATGCTCAAGAAACTGAGAGAAGAAAACAATCTAGTAATATCTTCAGCAAAAGATCTATCTACGTGAATTAAGAACCATACTGTTTTTACTTTTTTTTTTTTTATTTTTCGGTGCCTGGGATCAAACTCGGGACCTTGCACTTGCAAGGCAGGCGGTGGAACCAGAGCTAAATCCCCGGCCCCATACTGTTTTTAAAAAGAGGGTGGGAAGGAGGCAAATTCAAAACATAATTGAAGGCTTCTTAAATTTAAAAACAAATAGGAGCCCACAAATGAAAAATGTATGACAAGTTGGAAGATATGATTCAGAATATTACCAAGAAAAACAGAACAAAAAGACAGATGGGAAGTGGGAGAGAAAAGAAACTAGAAAATTCAAGAATACATTCATAAACTCTAACATCCATCTAAGATCCACAGGAAGAAAGGAAAAAACAAACTATACATGTAGCAAGGGTCAATATCCAAAAAACTTCAAATAGTCCAATTTTACAATCTTTTTTTTTTTTTTTTGGTACCAGGGATCGAACTCGGGAACTTGTGCTTGCACACCAGGTGCCGGAACCACTGAGCTAAATCCCTGACCAAAACAGTCCAATTCTAAAATTGGCACCAGCCCTAAATAGACACCTCTCAAAAACAGCATTATGAAATCCCAGCACAAAAAGAATTATGAAATCCCAGCACTCTGGGAGACTGAGGCAGGAGGAGTGCAAGTCTGAGCCCAGTCTGGGTGACTGACTTAGTGACTTAGCAAGATCCTGTCTCAAAAACAAAATAGTAACAATAATAATAATAAAGGGATGAAGCTTAAAGTACCTGAGATCAATCCCCAATAAAGAAGAAAGAAAACAAGAAGGAAAGAAGGAAGAGACAGGAGAGAGGGAGAGGAGAAAAGAAAGAAAACATGAAAAAATGCTGAAATGGGCCCAGGATTTAGCTCAGTGGCACTGAGGTTCGAAAGCGCAAGGTCCTGAGTTTGATCCCCGTACCAAAATAAAAAAATACTGAAATTACTAACCATCAGGAAAATGCAAACCAAACCTTATTCCAGTGAGAATGGCTACTATCAAAAGGACAAAATATAACAAGAGCTGCCAAAGTTGCAAAGAAAAGAGAACCTATATATCCCTGGTATAAATGTAAATCAGTAGAATGATTATGGAAAACAGCATAGAGGTTCCTCAAAAAATGAAAAATAGAACTAATATAAGTCCCAATAATCCCACTAATGGGTATATATCCAAGGGAAATGAAATTGGTATATAGAAGAGACACCTCCACTCCCATGTCAGTACTATTAACAGTAGCCAAGAAATGGAAACTATCTGTTCATCAATGGATACTGAGAGTAGAATGGTGCTTACTTCAGGCTGGAGAAAAGCTGATCAAACGGGTAAAACTAGATAGGATCAAGAAGTAAATAGGGTGTGGTGGCACACACTTATAATCCCAGTCTTTAGGAAAATGGGGTATGGTGGCAGGTGCCTTCTGAGCCAGAAGGATCAGCCAAGCCTGGGCTCAAGCCAAGCCTGGGCAATTGAGTGAGACCCTGTCTCAAAATAAAAATGGGGCTGAGGATATTAATCCTCCATGCTAGGAGATAAAAAAGAAAGAAGAGAAAAAAGCCTGGGCTATATTTGTTTTGTCAAAACAAAACAAAAAGTACTGTATATTTCAAAGAGCTAGATTTTAAATGTTTTCACCATAAGAAAATGGCAAATGTTTGAGAATATATGCTTAACCTGATTTAAATATTACACAATGTATACATGTATACAAACATCACACAGCACCCTCTAAATATGTATAATTTTTATTTTCATGTATCAGTTTAAAATAAACTTGTAGCCAGGCATGGTGGTGCACGCTTGTAATCCCAGCACTAAGGAGGCTGAGGCAGGAGGATTGCAGCAAGTTCGAGGCCAGCCTGAACTACAAGGGAAAATTGTCTCAAAAAATAAAATAAACTTGTAAAACAAAGAAAAGATGATCTGGGGATGGGCTTGGTGGTAGGGCACTTGCCTAGCAGAGGTGAGGCCCCTCAAAAAAAAAATAAGAAAATAACTCAAGAAAACTTCCCAGGATTAAAAACACGAGGTTGACTACACAGACCTACCAAGTTCCCAGCACAATGGAGGAAAACAGACCATGGCCAGTTTCAAATAGGAAGGACAAAGAGAAGACCCTAATGCTTCCCAAGGCAGTGACACCTTGGCTATGAAAGACAAATGGTGGAGTAACACCTTTGGATTTTTTTTTGACACAGGGTCTCATTATGTAGCCCAGGCTGAGATCTTCCTGCAGGCCTCCCCTGGGCTGAGATTACAGGGGTGCACCACCACCCTTGGCTCAACCTTTGGATTTTTAAAGAGGCAATCACTTTTGACCCAGAATTCTACACCCAGCCACAACTGTGAGTGACAGCGGAGTAAAGCTGCCTTCTGATGAAGATCTCAGGAAACCAGCCTCTAGCTCATTCCTTCTCAGGCAGCCTGAAGGTGAGCACCACCAAGGAGGGGCAGACCAAGAGAAAGATGTCAGGCTGTGCTGGAGGTAACTTTGTCAGGCAGCAGGGCCAGGGCAGCAGCCAGACCAGACAGAGAAGTAGGTCGGAGGCCCCAGAGGGACAAGCTGAGATGATCATGATAGTGAACCAACCTGCTGTGTTGGTTGAAGGGAAAAGGAATCACAAGATGCAAGGTAGGGCAGCTTTGAGAAAAGCCAGTGGAGCTGAAAGCAGTCACATAACAAGCAGGAGTTAGCATCTTCATATGCCTGGGGATCACCATATTTTTGCATAAGCTGTACAGAAATACATGATTCTATGTGTTAAAACAGCTTCAGTAAGATAAAGTGGGGTTTTTTAAATAACAATCCCAAAGAGTGATCATCACTCTAATATATAAAAGCACCCACTTGAAACATTTTTAAAAAGCCTAGTGAGGTGGCCAAACCTGTGATCCCAGCAATTAAGAAGCTGAGGCAGAAGGTTCACAAGAGCCCTGCCTGGCAATTTAGCAAGACCTTGTATCAAATAATAAACTAAAAATAAAAAGGTCTGGAGATGCAGCTTGGTGGTAGAGCACCTTTGGGTTCAACTCTGGATCCAAAAAAAAAAAAAAAAAAACTTGTCCAAAGCAAGAATGAGGGTCTTTGCTGGGACTGGCAATGGAAAAGAGACTGTGATGGTGAGTTCTGAAAGAAAACATCCTTTCTTTTCCCCGATGCTGAGTCCACGGGGAGGATCCAGTATTTCCATGGAAAGCACACCTCTGAGGCAAACCCAGGTACACTCCGTGCTATGATGCCCCTAAACACTGCTTCTATACTGCACATTGGCGTTTGGCAGCTCCTTCACCGACAATGAAGAGAAGTCCTTTCAGTCTGATAAGTAATCTCCTAACTTAGCAGGTGGCCGGTTTGTACAGGAGTGGCTAGGAGGAAGGCCTGTTCCCGCTCCCTCCGCTGTCTGCTACGCTGATTTCTAGCAATAATGACCCAAGCATCAGGGGGCGGTAGCGACTCCAGCGACATGACAGTAGGCCGCTCCACCACGAATGACGTGAGAACTGCTGAACACGGTGACCAACAGCCGAACCAGACTCACACTCAGTTCCATCTCCTCAGACTCTGCTCATGCATCCTCAGACTCCATCTCTTCATTTATAAAACACAAATTAAATTTGTAGCCCTACATCTCACGACCGTTAGGAACATTGGGTGAGAAAATACACATCGGTGAGGGGATATATAATAGGCTCTCAGTAAATTGATGCGGTTTATTTCAGTGTCCTTGCTTAGGATCCGAGGACCTCGGGTCGACGCCTGTCCAATCTGGGCCCCGAGAAGGACCCCACACACACACCGTGCCAGGCACTGCGCCTGGCACTCGCGCCCCAGCTCCGGGCCCAGCGGAGGGAGATAGGGCGGGGGCAGGCAGGAAGCGGAGGGTACCTGCGCGCTGACACGAACCCCGAGAGCAGGGGGTCGCACACCACGAAGAAGTCAGCCCCGTGGTTCTCATCGCGTGGGGCGCGCAGTCAACACACGAGAGAAGACCCGGCCCAGCCGCCCTCCGGAGTCCGGCCGACCACCTAAGGACGCGGCGGAGAGGGTGCGGGCGGGCCACGCCTTCCTCGAACGACCGGGGCAGGCGCGTTCTCCGTTCACCAGGCAAACCAAAACAAAACCCGAAAGCTAACCAAAACACGAAACAGGAAGCGCTAGGCCAGGGCACTCGGACACGGGCGCCCGACTGCCCGCACCGCACCTCACCGCACCGCACCGCACCGCGCGCCCCCCGGGCAGGTACCTGGCAGCGCAGCGTCCTGCTGGTCCCGGGTCTCCGCGCCCCCCGCCTCCGCGGCCTCCGCGGCTTCTGGGGCCTCCGCGGCTTCTGGGGCCTCCGCGCCCCGCTCCCCGGCCTCCGGGGCCTCCACGGGCGAGGCAGACGCGCACCGGGGCGAGGGGTCGGCCGCCGGAGAGGCCGAGCCGTCCGAGGCGCCGTCGGGGCCCCAGGAGTCCCACAGCCAGGGCGCGTGCGCCTGCTCCAACAGCCGGCGGCCCAGGCGGTAGCGCAGCAGCTCGCGGTAGCAGGACGCGTACTGGTCCCAGCGCGGCTCCCGGTAGCGCTTCATGTACTCGCTCTTCACCCCGCTGCCCGGGGACATGGTGCCACGAAGCTCGCCACGCGTCGCCCGCGGAACTCACGAAACAGAGACCACCCCGCGGCCCGGCCCGCCGCGCAGTTCAAACTCGAGCCCCGCCCGGAGGGGGAGGGAGGGGGCGGAGCGGGGAGGGGAGGCCGAGGGCGGAGGCGGGAGGCCGAGGCGGGGCGGGGCCCGGCACAAGGGGCGGGGCAGCCCCGCGTAGGCGTCCTGGGACCAAGGGTTCCGGGGCGGAGTGTGGGCCGTAGGGTGGGGACTGGGGCCCCCGCGTGCCGGGGCCGGTGGGGGCCGCGCACCCTGGCCCAGCGCGGTGGCGAGCGGGAGCCTCTCCGGGCTAGCGCGATGTCACCTCCCCTATCCTGGTTCCCGCTCGACCTCAGGACACCGCAACTGAAGCGCGGTCGCGGTCGCTGCTCCTCGGCAAGATGTCGCCGGCGTCAGGGACCCTGCGGCAGCCGGAGGCGAAGGCGCCGCCCCAGCCGGGAGTAGACGCCTCCCCGTGCACCCGGCCCGCGCCCCGGTGTGGGCTCTGGCGGACGCTGTCCCCGGCGGGACGCGCCTGGTGGGAAGATGACCGGTGCCGAGGAGTGACCAGCCCCGCCACGCTGTGGCCTTGCACCGTGTCCCCAAAGTCCTGGGCCCGCTCCCTTCCTGTCTGCTCGGAACACCTGTTACTCTGGCTTTCAGCCTGTCTTTCCTTTAGTACAAACCCTTTTGTTTCAACGCACTAACGTGTTAAAATATGCATTAAAATCTTGCTGTCCGCTCAGGGTCGCGTGTGCACAAAAAACCCGCGACTGCTTCTTCTGCATTGTGGGTATGGGTACAGTGTTACGGGCAGTTGATAGTGTGGAAAGGCGCCCCACAATAATTCCTTCCCTGTTATTAAAAAGAGCCTCGATACAGTCGCTATGCAGAGTGGCTGCGTCCGGAGGACTACGGGGTGGGGGGGCGTCCCTACCTGCCCCACGTGTCCAAGTCCTGCCCCCATCTCCCCTGAAACACCGAGGTGCACGCTGGCCCAGGGGACTGTCTCTCCTGAGAACCCGAAGTGACCGGGCTGGCCGGGAGGCGCTATGCGGAAGGACTCCACCATCTGAAGCTGACTCCACAGAGGCTGACTTCCCTTCTCCCTGGCAACCTTCCTTCTCTCCCTTGGCAGTTCTCAGAAACTTTCTCATCAAATCCCCTTTTTGTTTAAGCTGGTTCTGTTGGTTTCTGATGTTTACAACCAAAAGAACCTTAATAAATACTCAGTATGGGGAAGAAAGGGTGCCAAGCAGCCATAGCAGAAATGCAGGGCCCAGTCCATTTTAACTTGCTGCATGGCTCTCCACAGAGTCTAGTGGTATGAAGCAACTGGGACTGTGAGTTCCTGTGGTTCTGCAGGTGTGCTGAGCTCTCCCTACACATGGGTGTTCTGCTGAGGGTGGAGGCTGGCGGGGTTACCTGTCTTCACATGCTGCCTCTGCACAGGAATGGCAGTGTCTACCCTTGTGGACCATAGTATACATATCTCAATGTCTAGAGGTTGACATAGATGCATCAATGTCTAAACCTCCCTGGAGGTCCAGGCCACCCTTCCAAACTCCTGGCTATTGTGTTCTAGGGCACACCTTTGTTACTACCTTTGCTCAGTGTCCACACCTGCCTTCTCTGATCCCCCCAACCAATTCTTTTTTTTTTTTGGTACTGGGAATCTAACTCAGGACTTTGCGCTTGCAAAGGCAGACACTGAGCTAAATCCCCAGCAATCCCTTCTTAATTCTTAATTTCTGTTGATGGCACTTCCATTCTCCCAGATACAGGGTCACCCCAATGCTGTCTCTGAGGCTGAGGCATGCAGGTATCTGTCAAATGTTTCACATGCCCATTCCCTCTCCCTCCCCTCCCTCAATTGAGGCTGGCCCGCCACAATATCGGGAGTGGGGATGTGGCACAAGCATCAAACCTCTTCATGGATCTGCAAAGAGCAAAGACCAGATCCAAACCAAGGTCTGCACCAGTCAGGCTTAACTGAGCACTCAGGGGCTTTCTGGTTCCAGGCTGATGGGGAGCCACACCGGAGATCCAGGAGGAAGCCAGCAGAACACTGAAGTGGACCCAGACTGCAGTGAGGGCAAGGAAAAAGGCCTTAATAAACAAACCCTCAGCAACAGCTCAGCACTGTATAACTGCCCCTTTTTCTCCTGCTGGCAGCAGACACAGCGGGAAATTCTCAGACAGAGAATACACAAGGACCTCCTTTTTAAATTTTGTTTTGTTTTTTGTGGAGGTGGTACCAAGGATTAAATCCAGGTCCTTCACTGAACTACATCCACAGCTCCTCTTTTATTTTGATTCAGGGTTTCACCAGGTTACTAAGTTGCCCATCCTGGTCCCCAGTTTGCCATTCTCCTGCCTCGGCCTCCCAGAGTGCTAGGATTACAGGTGTGCACCACCATACCTAGCTCAGACCAGCACTTTAATACGGACAAGATTTAGACTAGTGTTTATCTGACTGAGTTATTCCTGATGGTCATAACCTTATTTCTCCAGGCCATTCTAGCCTTACAAAAAATCAAGAGTATGCATTGAAAACAGCATATTTGGCTTGAGTTCCTACCAAGAAGCCTGAGGAAATGCCCCCAACCAGATGGCCAGGATGCCCTTGATGGCAGAGGCCACAGAGCTGGAATACCATCCACATGCTGTCTCTATACAGAGATGGGAAACTGCCCTGAGACTTTCACTTACTGAGGAGAGGTGTTCAGTGTAGGAGCCACCAGCCACAAACCCTGACCTGGGCTGCAGCCCACCTTCTCCCTGAGATGCTACTCAGCATAGGACTCAGATGTCTGCCAGCTGAGCCTCTCCCCTTTCCCCATCAGTATCTTTTCATGCTAGCACCAGCCCTGATGGAATTTTGATGCTCTCTGTGCTGTGCCCTCTCCCGGCCATTGTGTACTCTTCTTTGCCCTCCCTCTCTTCTTCCCTTCTGTCTCCATTTCCTTCCTCCTCCCTCTCCTTCCTTCTGCCTGCCTCGTCCCTGAGTCTCCCTCCTTCCCTCCCTGCTAAGAGAACACAGAGCCTGGCCTTCCTCCAGAACAGTCCCCTTCCCCTTCCCCCTTCTCTGATGTTCCCACTCTTGGAACCATCTAACAAAGAAGTAAAAATCTCCCCAATTACCTTGACTGCTAGATAATAGGCCATCAAATGAAGAAGAACACTGTGATCACCATGGCAATTTGTCAGAACACAGAATTCTGTGTGCAGTGTGGTGCACGGGAAATGCCTGCTTTGAGAGCAAGCCCAGACTTACTGCCTTCTGTGGTGTAGACTCCTGGTGCTGGTGCTGGGCCAAAAGTGGCTTGTGTGTTTGCATTTCTGAGGAAATTGCTCCCTTGTCTACCACCATGCAGGTCAGGATACCAATCTTTGTAGGGGAGGATGAACATTGTACTGTTCACTCATATAGAATATCTAGACTCCAGCTTTCCCAGCAAATGGAGCCTCCAACTATAGGGAACAAAAAATAGTTGTCATGGAGGATTGCCTAATGGATAGACACTACATTCCCTAATGGTAGATTTTCTGGAAAAAGGAACCCTTCTACGTTTTTGGTGGGAATGTAAACCAATAAAACTATTATGAAAATCCATATGGAGAGTACTCAAAAAAATAAAACTAGAAATTCTATTTGACCAAGCTATTCCCCTTCTAGATATCTTCCCAAAAGAGTTAAAGATTTCATACCACAGTGATACATGAGTATTCGTGTTTATAAGAACTAAATCTTGGAGGCAGTCTGCCTGTCCATCAACAGATGAATGTTATTATGCCTTGTGTCTGGATGTCTCATATGATCATAAGTGGTGCTTTTCAGAGGTGGCTAGATCTAGAGTGTGTGGTGCTGAGATTAAGTGTATGATGCTGGGATGAGGGTGTCTGATTACTAAATTAGTCCACTGATTGGTTTGGCATAGTTCTGGAAATGGATAATGGGAAAGCCCTCCCTGGGTGTGTGAGTGCTACCCACTCTAAGGGCAGGTAGCCTGGATAGAATATAATGGGCAGAAAGAAAACTGTTGTGGTTGCTTGTTGCTTGCTGCTTCTTTGCTACTTTGCTGCTTTGTTGCCTCCTGCCAACCATGAACTGTTTCTCTTCTGTGATGCCCCTCTGCCATGCCACTCTGCCATGGAGCCAGCCACCTATGAACTGAAACCTCTACAAACTGTGAACTGAAATAAACCTTTCCTCCTTTTTTCTTTTTTCTTTTTTTTTTTTTGTACCAGGATGAACTCATGACCTTGTACTTGGAAGGCAAGTGTGGTGCCTCTGAGCTAAATCCCCAGCCAAACCTTTCCTCCTGTGACTTTGGGTGTTGGGTATTTTTTCAGCAACAAGGAAAGTAACTAAGACAAATGGATAAAAATAAATGGATATTGTGGTGTTTATACACAATAGAGTACTACTGTACCATAAAGAAAGATAAATTTGAGTCACTGGCAGTAAAATGGATGCATCTTGAGACCATAAGGTTAAGTGAAATAAATCAGATACACAAGCTTAAATATTGCGTGTTTTTTCTTACATAAGAAACCCAAATTATAAATAAAAAGCAAAATAAAAGCTAGATAATAGGAAGTAGGGAGATAGATCTTTCTCACATGGGAAGGGGATCAAGAGATGGGGAGGGGTGGGCTGGGGATTTAGCTCAGTGGTGCTGTCACCTGCCTTGAAAGCTCAAGGTCCTGAGTTCGATCCCAGTACTAAAAAAGAAAAGAGATGGAGGAGGGAAAACGGGAAGAAAAAAGGAATTGAGACATGTTATATACATGTACCAACTCCATACAAGGAATGTAAACATTATGTACTGCAAACATGGACTAATAGAAAAATAAATGAAAGATAATAAAAAATAAATTGTTCCTGGCCAATTCATTAGAAACCAGTGCACTCTGGGAGCATTGCTCTGGCCCTTCTGAAGGGATTTTGCTGAGCTGCACTTGGCATTAGTGCTTGGCTTCACAGAGGCTCTGTCCTAGATGGCCTGGCCCCTTCACTGAGCCCAGAAGAGCTGAGACCTGGCCCCTGCTCATCATCTCCCTTTGAAAAGCC